CCTGGCGGCCGCGCCCTCCGCCTGCTCCCGCCGCCTTTGAGCCGGGACCCGCGGGCGCCCCGGCTCCGCGTTCTCCCGTCGCGCGCACTTCCCGGGAGCCTTCTCCAGGGCACACTGGGGCACGGTTATTTCTTTGTGCTTTGAGTCCCCCCACCCCGCCCCTCGCTTTCCCCACCCAGATGAAACCCTGGAGACTGGATCCCTCCCTCCCCCCCACCCCCGCCGCGGGTGCCGGGAGGGTGCGCTGCAAGCTCTGGGCACACCCAGGCCAGCGGGCTGCGGGCACCGGGTGGGCGAGGAGTGCAGGGTCCGCTCCCACGGAGCGCGCCGGAGCCCCTGGGGAGCTAGAATGAATTGCTAAGAGTGGCCGCTTGCCCCCGGGGCACCCCAGTGCCCGGCACTCAGCAAGCGCTCAATAAATATTTGTTGAATGAATGAGCAGTTGACTACTGACTGCTTTCACCCCCTAGAGCTTTAACTGACAACGGGAGAGCCGGAAGCTGGACTACGGGGCGGACCGCTCTCCCTCGGCCACTGCAGCCTTCAAAGCAGGAACGTTTGTCTTCCTGTAAGCAGGCAACTGACCGAGGGAGCCGGGCTCCTCAGAAGTATATCCCAGTGTATATCCTCCGGGGCTTATTATCTGGAGAACACTAACTTGAAAATCTTGCAAACAACCTTCCACCCCCAAACCTCAGGGCTCGTCCCCAACTGAAGAAATTCAAATTCTCTTGCTGGAGGATTTCGTGGGAGTTCGGGGAGTGTTGGGGATATGCCTCTTGACCTGTTTCCCAACAGAGCATCCATCCAAAAAGCAACCCTAGATAAGAAGGGGGCCTGGCATTTTCCAGTCTTTGCTCCTTCACGGAATATTGTGTTGGCAAAGATGCAGAGGAGAAAGGAGACTGCCTTAATCGCTCCTGACCGGTGTGAATCTCCCCTCCTGGAACTCACTTCCTCAAAAATGAAGCTTGGTTCTGAGGCATAGCCCTCCTCTGGCCCCATACAGAGAAAAAACACACCCGAGGTCGAGTCTTAGATTCAACTTCTCCCAAAAAATCTGTAGCTTCCTAACCAGCACCAGCGGTATCTGCATGAGAAGACCCCCAGCCCCAGTCACCCCCCTACCTAAAGAGACTTTACCTGAAATAATCCTTTACTAAAAAACTTGCCCCCCTTTCCCTCTAAAGGTACTCCCCATTTTGTCTAGGTCCTCACAGTATATAGATGGGATGCTGTTTCATGAATCTTTTAATAAAGCCAATCAGATCTCTAACTTGGTGATTTTTTTTAACAGAAGTAAAATGTCAGAGTTAAATAAACAGCTCATTTATGCTCATTGTCTGAGAAAACGCAGCTCAGAATAAATGTCCTTGGAGTCTGTGAAGGTTTTCTTGTTTATTTAGAGCATGAAAGAAAAGGAAGAGTAAATGAATATATAATAAAATAGTGAGATTTGGTTGAAGAATCAGTGTGTTTGAACTTGGGTAACATTTTGCAAAGCTAGGCCTGAAATTGAAAAATTAAGTTCCCTTGGTAGGGGGTATCTCCCAGGTCTAAATATCTTTCCTGCCGACAAGTAGGCATTTATTCACAAAATATAGTGATAATTTAAGAAATTTTTCACTTTAGATTTAACATCCAGAAGGAATTCCACTACTCTTCCTCCCACCGCAACCCCCCCAAAAAAATTTTTTTTCTTTCTCTGCCAGTGACATTATGATTAACCTTAATTCCTAGGTTAGGTAATTTTGTGGGCTTTCAGTTATGTCCCTGTTAGGTGTAAGACAATTATTCTAAGAACAGGGCCCAACAGTGAACAAGAAAATCCCCTACCCTTACAGAGTTTACAGTCCAGTGGATTAAGACAGAAGAAAAGCCTATACCAAGTCATCATCAGCCTAGAGAGAAAAGCCCAAAGTGTGATGGACAGGGCCAGTGGGGGCTGTTTGGTATTGAGAGAGCCAGCTGGGCAGGGCAGGCATCTCTATAAGTGCAAGCCTGAAGGAAGTGAGAATTCCAGGGGAAATTACATGCAATGGCCTACAGGCACGTTTGGCAGGTTCCCCAAATCTCAAGAAATCCGGGGTGGTGAGAGCTGAGTAAGGGGCAGAACTTGGAAGGAAGCTTGGTCCAAGGTGTACACCATGGCCAGATAAATTGGGCCTGTGACAGGCAGCGCGAGGCTTTTCTCTGTTATTGGAAGAGAAGGTTGGATGGCTTTGTGCCAACCAACATGATTTAATTTGCCTCCTGTGGTAGGAATGTGAAGGAACAGGGGAGGGTGCTGGAGGGTGAGAGAGAAGGAAAGCTATGTCAGTAATGAAGACAAAAATAAGGTAGTTTGATCCAGGTGCTGGGGAAGGAGGTAGAAAGAAGTTGCATTCCTGAATATACTGAAGGGAGAACCAGCAGGAGGGCAGAACAGTGGGTGGCAAAGGGGAGATATGGTTATGAAGTTACTGGGCCCCACAGTGCACATTTTAAAAGTTTGCCCCCCACCAAAACTGCCTCACTAACTGCAGTTCAGGTCTCAGAAGTCTTGGATCTTGCCCTCAGATTTTGAGACACGGATGAACCAGCGATGATTCTACGTTTTAGAGCTTGAGCAACTGGCAAAGAGTTGCCACATTTTTTTGTCATCTCTGATGACATCTCTGTCAATTCTTCACCAAGGTGTTCCTTATTGAATTTCTCCGTGCTATGTCTTTTTTTTTTTTTTTAAAGATTTATTTATTTATGTGTACAGGCCAGAGGTGCAGGGGCGGTGAGAGGATTCACCAGAGACAGAGTGGGGAGCAGAACACGCAGGCTGACGAAGGAGATCCAACTCACACTGAGGTGGCAGCTGATGGCTTGCTGTGCTGTGTCCTAACCCATTGAGCCACTAGGGAGGGCCCCTTGCTATGTCTTTAGGGTTTACTTCTTCACACCTTCCTTGGCAACTGCTCCATATGGCTCTTACCATGGCATTTTGGATTATAGAATAGGGGTTTCCCAAATTGCTGCTGTCATCTGTGTGCAAAGAAATTGGGTGATGGATACTCTGGCATATTTTAAATTTAATATGCACCTGAGTGTTAATGCTCATTATGGAATTAGATTCAAATTTAAATTTAAATGATTTCAATTGCCTCACCACACCCTTGTATTGTGAGCTTTTCCCAAAACGTGAGGTTTGAATTTGGGCAATGGGTACTTCAAGCTTGACAATAATTGTGCTAAGAGGATTGGCTGAAAAGGGAAAATTTTGATCACAACTTTCAGTATGTTTATTTGTTTTTCTCTGAAGACTGAAGTCCACCCACTTTGTTCTATCAGATGGCTAACCCCCAATTTGAAAGTCCATTTCAATCATAAAAGCAGAGCTATTCAAAGGCTCTTATTAAAATGAGGCTTAAAGTTAGAGAGTCAACCAGATGGATGGGTTGATTCCCAGAAATAGCCTTTTCTTTGTCCTCTGATATCATTTCAGAATAAACAGAAAGCATGACCACCCCAGATAATCAGATTCCAAAGTTCCAAACACATTTATGCATGGTCATGTGCTCTATTTCAAGGTGGCTTGGCAAAAGAGGTGAGAAGAAATTGTTTTGGAGGATAGTTCTACTTGAATATGATGTCTTTCCCTTAAAGGAGGTTCAAGACAACTGGCTCCTGCCTCACCTCCCTTGATTATCACATTTATTTTGCCAAGTCTTGTCAGTTTGTTATAGGGCACCCCAATTCTGTTAAGAGGACACGGGGAGAGGGACACCCCTGAAGCCCCAAAACCTGCCTGCTCTAAGTGGGTTCTGCCATCCGCCGCAACAAGACAAAACATATAAAACTTTAATGAAAAGGGACTTTAAATATTCTTTGTGTTCCGTATTGTATATTTACTGTATTAATACAGTATTTTTACAGTAAATATACAATACGGAACACAAAGAATATAACTTCTAAATCAAACACCTGAAGTGACCCATCCCCTCATGGGCAAAAGTCAACCCAAAAGGGATTGGCCCAAAGCAAGGCCTGAAAACACTGCACGACACTAAAGCACCTTCTGGCCCGGACCCATGGAAGAGGGTCAGAGATGGCCAGACAATTCTGGGAGGAAAAGAGCAAAATCAAAATCAATATAAACACTGCCATAGTCACCTCCCTACAGGTCTCTCAGCCACATCTGCCTTAACCAGTCCAGGGCCAGGAAACAAGCCTGGTTTCTTCATCACATGCTTGCTGCTCCATGTGGCTTCCTTCGGTCTCCTCCTTGTTCCCCATCCTGCTTCCTTCTCTTCTCCTTTTTCTTCTCTCCTTTTTCTCTGCTCAGCTCCACCCTCCTTCTGGGTGGGGCAGGGAACCTGGAACTTCCCTTTTTCCTAAGGACCACCCTGTTACAAGTTTGATTACTTCCCTGAGAGAAGCTATGGGTGATTAAAAATAAATAAATAAATACGAATTTCCTGAATGGAGAAGGCTCATTCTTTGATCCTATATATGACTGAGTAGTTGCTGGAAATACAAAAAAAGAAAATGCAATTGGTTCTAAGCATTACTTTGCAAGCTTCTAAGGGCGAATGTTTAGGACAGTGTGGGTTTTATTCGTTTCATTTGGGAGTTGTGAACTGAACTGAGAAAGGAAATGGTTTCTGCAGCCCCAGAAACTCCGTCAAATACTTCAGGAACTCACATCACTGTTTACCCGCGAGTGGCTAAACGACTTGGCTGGGTGTGGGCCCTTGGCCCTGCCATATGGCTTTGGAAGTCTGGTTTCCCT